TGGATGTATGCCTTCATTTTTTTGGGTGACATCTTTCTCCTTTGAACCTTTGTCAAAAATCAGTCGTCCTAGGAGTAGAATATGAGCTGTGATCGAACAATACGGTGAATGTTTAAATAAAAAAAACTTAAGTAAAAGACACATTGTCATTAATCCCTCTCGCTTCAAACACACTTACCCATTGTTTGAAGCGATTCCAGAAGTCCTCTCTTGTGAGTTGTCTTTAGTTGCGCTGGCGTGGCCGCCTTGATTTCCTGAATGATTTTGACTGGGGAAGAGCCAGAAGTCACACGGTACCAGATTTTGTGGATAAGGTGGATGAAGACACCCGTAGTGTTTTTGATAGGAATTACCATATCAGAAGCGATGTGTGACATGGAGCGTAGTCATGATGGAGGATGATTTATGGCACACTTTAAAACACACCTCAACTGTAAGTTCACACCCGACTGACTGCGTCAAACAAGTTGAAACGTGTCATACACTGTTACTAAGTAAGGTTCGACATGCCACTTGCATTGAAGACCCCTGCCTTTCTGTAGGATGACACTCGGCGGCAGCGTTCACTCTGTTTTGATCACAACAGAAAGGCTCCGTGTCACACATCACTTCTGGTACAGCAATTTCTGTCAAAACCATGATGGTGTGTCCTCATCCACCTTATTCACTGGATTTGACACCATGTGACTTCTGGCTCCTTGACAAAGTCAAAATGACCACGAAAGGTAAACATTTTGAATTGAGTCAGGACATCAAGGCAGCCATGACAATGCAACTAAAGGCACTCATGAAAAAGGACTTCAGAACTGCCCAGAAAGTAGCAAGAAAGATGGGATAAGTGTGTTTGAAGTGAGGGGGATTAATGACAATGTGTCTTTTACTGTAATACTTTTTTTATTTAAAATTCACCATATTTTTTTTATCATACTTCATAGCTTGATAATATTGAAGGTGTGTATATGTTACTATTAAAGGAACTGCCCAACTTTTCCAAAGTGGTTGTACTGTTTTTACGCCCACCAGCAGTTTCTCCACATTCTTACCAAACTTGGTCTGGTCAGTCTCTTTAATTTTAGCCATTTTTTAGTAGGTGTATAGTGATAACTCATGTTTTTAATTTGTATTTGATCAGTAATCAGTGATGTTGAGCATCTTTTTATGTGTTTATTTCCCATCTGCATATCTTTGTTCAAATGTTGGCCCATTTTTAAAAATAAGTTTTTTTGTTTGTTTTTATTGAGTTTTACAAGTGCTTATCAGATAAATGCTTTGTGAATTCTTTCAGTCTGGTCATCTTTTCATTCTCTTAACAGTGCCTTTTGAAAAAAAACAGAAGTTGTATTTTTGATGAAGTTCAATTTATTAATTAGCTCTTTCATGGATTGTGCTTTTGGTGTCATTCTAGAAATATTTGCCTAATCGGAGGTCATAAAGATTTTCTCCAGTGTTTTATTATAAGTTTTATAGTTTTAGATTATATGCTTAAATAATCTGTCGAGATAATTTTTGTTTATGGTGTGATGTACAGATCAAAGCTACTTATTTTTTGGCAAGTGGGTATCTAGTTATTTCAGTACATTTGTTGAAAAGATTATTTTTTCTCCTTTGAACCTTTGTGAAAATCAGTCCTCCTTATATATAACAGTCCTGAAGAATTGTTAGTTCTCAACTTTGTTTATTTTCAAAGATACCTTGGCATTTTAAGGCCATTTTCAGTTGCATGTGAGTAGATTGAAATGGTCAATTTCTACCAAAAAGCCTGCTGGGATTTTGATTGGGATGGTTTTGAATCTATACATTGATTTGCTGTTTATTTAAATCTTCTTTCATTTCTCTCAGCATTTTCATATGGTTTGTCACACTTAATCCCTGTCTATTTTGATACTATTATAAACATATGTTGTTTTTAAAATTTCCCTTCCAATCAGGTTTTGTCCAATAAGCATGTGGCTCCTGATCATCTGTTGCAAATCTGCCAGCGCATCGGCCCCATGCTGGATAAAGAAATCCCACCCAGTATTTCAAGAGTCACTTCTTTACTTGGTGCAGGAAGGCAGTCTTTGCTACGTACAGCAAAAGGTACCTTAATTTGAAGACGTGTTCTGCTTTGTATTACTAGCTTAATAATTATCATAATTGTGAAGTAATGTAAGCATTGTGGAAGAAAGGTGATGTGTAACTATAAACCATGCTGTGGACTATAAATTCTCTGCATTTAGCGTAGTCTTTGAATTTTATTACATAAGTGTTTAATGGGTACTGCATTTAAAAAAAATGATAAAGGTAGAGATGTTAAGCTAAAAAGCTTGAATTTATTCTGAGATGTGTTTGAGGTTTTATCAATGTGAGTTCTTAATTTTCCATTTTGTAGCTCACTCATTGAATGTAACTGTATGTGTATAATAAACTCTTTAAATGCTAGAAATATTTCATTTGATATTTAGATTCTTGAAAGCCCTTTGTTATAAGGGGAAGTGATTTTCTAAATTTGGTAGCAGTTTGAAAACAAGCACCCAAAATGTACAATTGCATGGTTCTTTTTTCACCAATTTAATTTTTTTTGCTAAGTTATGTGGTAGCAAACTTGGAATTGCTGTTAGCTTGGTATAAATCACTTAGACTAAGTATATGTATGTGATATGATCTATGTATACAACGTGGCTTAACTGCTAACGGGCAAGAATGTTGGCTCTTTTGATCCTGAGCATACATCAAGTTTTCACCCCCGTGATTATTTTTAAGATCTGTTGCTGATGTGATGCTGCCTCTTAGATGTACCACCAGTATAAAGTTTTACTGAGAAAGAACCCTCCCTCTTGGTTCCATGCCAGACTGGTTTGTCAGCTTTAGTTGTTTCTTAGTGCTCTATGGCCATGACACACTGTGGCTTGAATCAGGAAACTGTTCATATTCTTCTTTCTTCTGTGTCCCTATTCACCTTGTAATTATTCTGTTTTAGGTTGTTACATAGTAGTTGCCTGGGTAGCCTGTTTTCCTCTGTTTTCTTTACTTGTGTCAAACTCAATGTCGTTTTGTGATGAGCACTGCTTTAGAACTGGCAGACCTTAGAAGAGACTTCAGCAAGCTGTCCTAGGGTAGGGACCATATTTCTCTGTTTGTTTTGTACTAGTGCCATGGGAGGATGCCTGGTAACTGCTCTTTGACCATGATAGTGGTAATGAATCCGTTCATGTAAAACATAATATGCCTGTTAGTTTGGGGCACCCGAGGCTCAGTAGAGGTTTAGTATGATACTTTCCTTCCCTTCCTCTTTCAGTTGTGAAGACGCTAATTTCTAGCACAGCATAATCTGTGTTCTGCTGCTCTTAAGGGGGCAGACATTTTTCTTAGTATCTTTGCTGGTACGTCAAAGAGGGATGGGACTTTAGGATTAGTGTTCAGACTGACAGATCCTATATATGTGCTCTTGTGTAAAGGATTATCTATGACCCTTAACAAGAGGAAAGCCATTTAATTTTGTCAGTACTTCCTAAGGAGATTGAAGTCTTGGTAATATTGGCCAAAATTAATTTAAAAACGCAATAACATTTAAATAGTTAATTAAGTCAAGGATTTTTTCATATAAATCAATGAAATTAAAATTTTCCTTACAAAAATTTCTATTTTTGGAAAGTTGGATTAGTTGTGATTAAGATTTTTTTATCATTAATATTGGACGGTATAATTCCGCATTGAAAAATAAAATCTTATTTGGCATCGAATGGGACTTGGAGTTAAAAGACCTAGTTTTGTGGTCCATGTTGACTAATCATTTGCAGTGGATCTCTTTAAAGGTCCTGGAACCTTTGAGCCTCAGTTACCTCACTTGTACATTGGCAATTAATACCTACCTCACAGGGTTGTTGTGGGGATTCAATGAGATAATGTATGTGGAAAGCACTTTGTAAATTGTAAAGTGCTACACAATGTTAGTTGTCGTTGTTGTATCTGAGATGTCTTAAATTTTTTTTCCTTCAGAAATAGTCTAATAAACCTTTAGGGCTTTCCTGTTAAAGTATATTAGTTGGTAAAACTTTAATAAACAGTTTATTAAAATATACGTAAGTATTCTATAAAATCTTTCTTGGGGTTAACTTTCAAGATTTTATGTGTATCTAAAATTCATTTTAAAGACTGCAGGCACACAGTTTGGAAGGGCTCTGCCTTTGCTGCTCTTCATAGAGGAAGACCCCCCGAAATGCCGGTGAACTATGGTTCCCCACCAAATCTTGGTAAGTGAGGTTGGCCTTGCAGATGATGCCTGAAACCATTCTTAGTGTCTTGAGCAACTTTGTATCTGCTGTATTAAAATTCAGAAGGAAATACTGGTAGTAGTGTTGTTTCAGTAGTAACAAGTATCAATTTTCAAATTCATTTTCCTAAAATAACTAAAAGTAATAATTAATGAAAAACAAGTTTATTATAATGAGAAGTCTATAGCAGTGATTACAGTAGAACAGAACTGGGAAGAAACTTGTGTTCTTAGGATTTCTTGAACATAGATTTTATTTTGGAGTTTTTCTTAGCTTTTTACATATTGGCTCCCCCTTAACCATTTTCGTTGTTTTTATTTCCTAGTGGAGATACATCGAGGAAAACAACTCACAGGGTGTTCCACTTTTAGCACAGCATTTCCAGGAACTATGTATCAGCATATAAAAATGCACAGAAGGATTCTTGGACATCTGTCCGCTGTTTACTGTGTAGCATTTGATAGGACGGGACATAGAATCTTTACAGTGAGTTCACATTTTAAACTCAATTTGTTATCACCTGGGAACACTTTAGTGTTCATCTGAATCTTCTGGGAAATCTTATAAAACAGGTCGATTCTGTTTCCCATTCTCAGGGATTTTGACATGGGGGGGGGTCGTCTGGTGTGGGGCCCATAAATTTGCAATTTAGTATCCCAGGTGATTCATATGCAGATCGTTAGACCTTGTGTGGTGTTTGCAAGGCATTGATTTACAGCAGTGGTTCTTGGGCATGATCATCAAGGTTGCTTAAAAATCTGTGTGCCTACCACTTCTCCAGCCTGTTCTAGGCCTGCTGAGTTAGGTTCATTTCTACTATGTGTGTTAACCAAAATCCACGCCCCACCCCAGAATATCCAGATCTCTCACAGTCACATTGGTTACTCACTGATCCAGGGAAATGGATTGATTACTTGAACATTGAAATGTTATTTTATAATTATTATGCAACTATATGTAAATATTTGTAATTTATTTTACTTTTTTAATGTTTTAAAGGAAAGTTAGGATGGGCAAGAAGTTTAAATTTTATTTCTCAGTTGTGAAATTCAGAGTAGATAGTCAAATATTTGTGGAATGGATGGATGCTGGCTGGTACTATAAATTTGTGACTGTGCTGTCTGGTTATTTAAAATGAGGGTGCTGGTTCCATTATGTTTTAGTTGTTTTGGGGATTGCTACCTACTTTTGTTTCTCAGCCCGTGAAATATAGATCTGTCCTAACACTGATCAAATTATCTTGATTTTTAACTAGTGTTCATTGAAATAGATGAGCCGTGAAATTTTAGTTGAACTTATTACTTAGCAGAGAATTTTGGGAAGATAGTATTTGTAATGTGGTCTGATCCGTAGAAATGAAAACTTGACAGTATCTTTATGTAGACACTTTTTGATTTGGAGAAAAAAACGGTTGTTATCCTATAAGTGTTCTCACCATGAATCAATCTACAGAGTATTTTAAAGTTGAAAAGAGAGGAATTATAGACACTTAATCTGAGTGACATGTAATAGTATTCTTTTAAGTGATGTAAAAGACTTTTGTATTAACATTTATTTTTGGTGTATTTTTTCTTAGGGTTCAGATGATTGTTTGGTGAAGATTTGGTCAACACACAATGGCCGCCTACTGTCCACATTAAGAGGTCATTCTGCAGAAATTTCAGATATGGCAGTTAACTATGAGAATACAATGATTGCTGCAGGGAGCTGTGATAAAATAATTAGAGTGTGGTGCTTGAGAACTTGTGCCCCAGTTGCTGTGCTCCAGGGACACACGGGGTCAATTACATCTTTACAGGTAAACTAGCTTTACTGTCCACATTTGTCTATTAATCTTTTCCTTTAAAACTTTCTCTTTGGAGATGAGAAATAGTAAGGTGTTTAGTAATTGTATAATCTATTTTAAAGTTAGTAATCAAGGAAAAATATAATCATACTTCCATGAATCTTGGAAGGGTGATGTAATAGCATGTGATGCAGTTAGAGCTTTGCATGAAGGCTTAATGGATGACTTACTGCTTCCTTTAGGGTTATGGTTGAACTGAATGAGTCAGTTGCAAACTGGTGATAGATGATTTTCCTCCTTTAAAACTTGTGGATTTTGATAAGCTAATTAAATTTACTGAAGTATATTTAAACTCAGTTTCTGGAACAGCTATTTAGGTTTAAATAGTCACTTTCAACATTTAAATCTTTCATTTTGTATACTTGAAGAGAAGGAGCTTGGAAGAAGCTGCTTTGAAGAAGTCATAGGTTCACATCCTACACCCTTACAAAGTATATAAAACCTTGGGAAAAATCGTAAAACATAATAAACTACTCATATGAAAAAACCATAAAACATGAACAACTCTCTGACATGTTGCAATGACAAATATGTAAATCATTGAAAAAAACCAAAACAATTTTTCCTAACTCTTTTCTGCTAACGGCAGTACTGGTCTTCCTTTGCTAATAAGTTCCTTTGTCTTGAATGTCTCATGAATCAGCAAGTTTTCATCATGGCTGTCCTCCCCATTCTGGGGGAAGGAAAGGTTAAGGTTCTCAGATTAATTGGATTGATTGTATTGATTCTTGGCTCTGTATCTTATCTGTTTTCTTTCAATCAATACTGTATATTGCTGTCAGACAAATCTTCAGTGTTTCACTTGAGAACTTGAGTTACCTCTTAATTTACTGTTAGTGGGCCAGATTCTCTACCCACCTAACCCATTTCCCCACCCACCACCTCCAGAACAAACACTGCAGTCCTGTCACATGCCACGCTTCCTGTCACGCACGTACTTCTTTTGTTTATATTATTTCTTTGCCTAGTGTGTTTTTCTTGTTTTCTTTTTATTTTCCTCTCCATGGTTTTTCAGCCTTCTTGGATGTCTCTGGACTGAATTGACCTTCCTTTCTCTAACTTGTTTGTGTAGCATAATTGGTACTTTATTAATACAAATGTTAGTCATATTCTGAAGTTACAATATAATTGTATTATAATACTTTCATGGTTTTGTTTGTTAAATGTTTCAATTGTGATTCACTTGGAATTTATCCTGGTGGACAATGTGAAGGATAGATCCAGCTCCCCACCCCTCCTTGTTGCTGACAGTTGTCACTTTACCAGTTACTCAGTGATTGGTTCCTCAGCTGATTGGAGATGGCACCTTTATCTTAAGTCGTGTATTAGGATCCATTTTGGAGTTAATAGTATTTCCATTGGTCGTTCTGTCAGTGTACCTACTGTGCCTCATAGTTTTGATTATTGAGGCTTGGTGATAATGCTTTCATATTGAGAGGGCTAGATCTTTATTTTCTCTTCGTAAAGGTTTTTCTGCCTATTCTTGTTTGTTTGGAAAGTAACCTTTTATTAAGATCACCTTACATTTTAAAACTAGAGATAGACTTTCTTATAGCTCACAATTTTTCAGTACTTGAGTATCACCTATATTTTGGATTTCTTGTGTTTTAGAGAGTCAGTTGAAGTTATCACTGAAAAACTGTTTAAACTACGACTTCAGTAGAAGCTCAGGAAATTGAGTTGTGTATGTTATTGCTTTTTAGTTTAGCCCAATGGCCAAAGGCTCTCAAAGATACATGGTCTCTACTGGTGCTGATGGGACAGTTTGTTTTTGGCAGTGGGATTTAGAATCCCTGAAATTCAGGTAAGTGACTAATTGTGTTAAATTGTCTTCTTTAATGTTGTTATGATTTAATCCGATGAAGTCTGACTTTAAAGAGAAATTATGGATTGTGGTCGCCTTTTTACTTTTGAACTTGGTTTTTATTATATACAGCATATGTGCCCATGTTGAATACTTACAGTTTACAATTACTATTTAGATAGTTGAATATGTAAAGGGAGCATAGCTATTCTGGGCACATCAGTAGACACATTTTTGTGAAAAAAAGGCAGTATGTATGTGAAAATGTTAGGAATGGAGAATTAGATACATCACGAGAAATTTAGGCAGGATCATTTACGAATCAGATGCATGCTGGATTATAGAGCTGTGTTCAGTATGGAACCTGCTAGGCGTATGTGACTGTTGAGCACGTCAGATGTGGCTAGTGCAATCAAAGAGCTGAGTTAATTTCAATTTAAAAACTGATACATGGTTCAGTTTTTATAAAACTTGTAAGCATAATTCAAACAACTTGAGTATGTGAATTTAGTTTTTCCGCTGTAAGTTTTATGATGCTGAATATTTGATGAAAATGTTCAGATTGAGTGTCCAGTACACACTGAAAGATTTCAAAGATTTAATATGAAAGAATCTAAATTCTTTATTAAAATTTTCATTAAAATTTTATTAATGTGGTATTTTGGGTTTATTGGGTTAAATGAAATAAAACTAATTTTGTCTCTTTTTTACTTTTAATGTGGCTACTGAAAAGTTTAAAGTTGCAACATGTGGCGTGCATTCCATTTTTGTTGGCCAGTGCAGTTTATACCTGGTGGTTTCATACCCTGCTCTGCAGTCTTGCTGATGGGCCTCACTTAGACTCAGAGTCTTAGTCACCTCAGTTACAAAAGGGGGTTTACTAGGCCTGCTGTTTCTGTGTCGCAGGGTCTGCATCACGGGGGTTAGAGTCTTCTGAATTCACCCAGCTACACCAGCATGGGTGGAAATACTTGGGACTCTAGGGGGCACTATAGAAATAAGATTATAATGTTTACATATGCTAGATTAAAGCCAATATTTTAAACTACGTTAATGTGTAAAACTAACATTTTAAAACATCTTCTTTTAAAGTCCACGTCCCTTGAAGTTCACTGAAAAGCCTAGACCCGGCGTTCAAATGCTGTGTTCTTCTTTCAGTGTTGGTAAGGTAACTTTAGTACTTTTTTCTTAGTTTTATTTTAGCATTTATTGAATGACCACATTATTGCTAAGAGCCTTTAAAAGATAGATGGTAAATGACTTATGTTCATTTCACTAGGTTTAATCTGTGATGTTCATTTAATTAGCCTTTTTATTGTCTTTTACTCCTCCATTCTGCCTTTCTCTAATTTCTAATATTAATCAGTCAATGATACAAGAGATAGCTGGCAAAAATGAGGCTTAAGATGCCTGCATGAGTGATTCCTGTGCCATGTGCCTTGGGTATGTGATATACTAAAATTTTGATTCCCTTTTAATAGGCTAAACTGTATATTTTTGGTAGTTTTAAATATCCTCATTTTCTTTTCTTGTACACTGAACTTGTGTGCTAAACTTTCTTTTTAGGAGAACGCAAAGACTTTTTCCCTATAACAGCCTGAAACTTCATGTGAACTTTATATTCTGTAGCTGGGTTTAGGTATATGTAAAGTTGTCTAGAAAGCAGAGCCCCTTTTGTCAATTCTTTTTAGAGCGGCAGCACTTAAGGTCATTGCCTCAACTAAAAAAGCAGAGGGAGACACTGAACATTTCCATATAGAATTAACTTTTGAAAATTAAAACCCCATCTGATTTTTTTTTTCTAATATTACCAGAGAATTCTTTGACACCAGCTGGGTGTCCTACAGTTCAGCTCAGTTCTGATACTGCCTACCTAGTGAGATGCCATAGGGTAAGGTCTCTCTACGTGATTCCCCCACCCCCCCTGCTGCCGCCCCATCCCAAATTCAGACCAGGCTGTCACCTGTGCTTCTGACTCACTGGCTATTTAGTATTGGGAGTTCCCACAAACTGCTCCTTGGCTTCGATTAGTTTGCTAGAGCAGCTTACAGAACTCAAAACATTTTACGTACAATGTTTCTGGCTTATTATAAAGATATAATTTAGGAACAGCCAGATGGAAGAGATGCATAGGATAAAGCATGGGGGAGGGGTGCTCTGAGTATGCCACTCTCCCCTAATCTTCATGTGTTTACCAACCCACAGCTCTCTGAATCCCGTCCTTTGGGCTTTTATTATGAAGCCGTCCTTACATACGCATGATTGATTGATGAAATCGTTAGCCATGGCAGTTGATTCGCCTTCCTAACCTTTTTCTCTCCCCAGAGGTTTGACTGAAAGTTTCAATCCCACATGGCTGTTCCCCTGGCAGTCATTCCCCAACCCCTATCTTTAGAAGTTTTGTAAAAGTCGCCTTGTGCACATAAACTCTAGTGTGGTTGAAATGGGTTTGTTAAGAATATCAAGCCACCTTTATCGCTCTTATCACTTAGGAAATTCCAAAGGTTTTCGGAGCTCTGTGCTATAAAGGGGACGAAGAGCAAATATATGTCTTATAAACCCAGCATCACACTGGATTATATTAATTTTAAAATGTCTTTATATAGTGAATTAGAAAATAGATCTATTGAGATAAACTTTTGGAATAAGAGATCTTGCTTAATTTAATATAGAAATTTGGTTTGTTGAGCTATTTGTTACAAATTGGATTTTTAAACCTTAACATTTTTATTTCAGGTGGTATGTTTTTAGCCACAGGCAGTACAGATCATGTAATCAGAATGTATTTTTTGGGTTTTGAAGCACCTGAAAAAATCGCAGAACTTGAAAGTCACACTGTAAGTATTCATGTTTTAAAATTCTGTAGATTAATTTAAAAAATATTCCTGTTCGTTTATAGTCAGATATTGCTAACAGGACAAATTGCATTTAATGGTGAATATATTGACAGCTCAGATAGCACCTTGGCAGTGCTTATATTTTGCAGTGGTTATTTCAGCTTTTAGTCCAAAATCTTGATTATGACAGTTGATTTGGGCTGGTTTGGTTCAAGTGGGCCTATTCATCTTAACCATTAACCAAGCTCTTGAAATCCGAATGCTATTTTACTAATGTGTAGAAAGATATAGTGATGCATAGCAAGATATATAACTCGGTATTCTGGAGTACTGGTCAGTCGTCAGTCATCTTTCTCCTAAGTGAAGTTTTGTGAGGTCATTTGATAAACACAGATTCGAATCACTTTAAAAGGAAAATATTTTTTGCATCTAAATAATCAGACATATATTCAGCCTTGTTTTCAGCTGCTTAAACCTTTATATTTTGATCATTTTGTACACATTTCAGTTTTTATACAGATGTTTTCCTGCATGGTCTGTTTTGAGACAAGAGCTACGTCTTGGTCTTGTTAGATGCACAGTTAGATTCTTTGCACTTAAATGTACATGTTTGAATGACGGAGCTAGGCACCAGTCCAAATCTCTTGCTTTAAACCAAATGTGCTTTTTAGCTCTACAACTGCGGGGTTGTTTTTGTGTGCTTGTTTATAAATGATGTAGATGATGACTTTGGTGTTTATTTTTCCTGCTTCAGGATAAAGTTGATAGCATCCAGTTTTGTAACAACGGTGACCGGTAAGTGTGTTTGTATTTATGCGTGTATTTTTAGGCATATATACTGTGCTTCACCTTAACGTAGCTAATCTGTCACTTTGTATATTACAGGTACTTATAGTAAATATATTAATTGAACAAAAAGTGTCTGGAGCAGGGGGGAAACATATGAAATATGTTTTTAGAATGGTAGTTTCTGCTGTCTCCTGTGACCAAATGTAGTTCTTTAGCTCACATTTGCTAAATTTTTGATTTACAGAAAAATTAGGTGTAAGGATAGTGAAATTCCGTATGTATGAGTAGTTAAGAAGAAATCTTTTCTGATTAACTACTGTGATGTATCCAGAGATAAAATGATCACTTAATCCTTTTTTGTGGTCCCCAGTGACTTTAAGGTGCCTTTACTAAATTGCAGTTTTTAACACAGTAATTCATTTGGTTAAAAGAATGATTATTTTTACACAGTGGACAGCATGAATTAATTTGAGTTTAGAATTAAGATGCTTATAATGGAGCTTTTGCTCTGAACTAATTTTCTCATGTCTTGAATTCTTCCTGTTTTTTCCCCTCTCCAGGTATTATTATTGTCTTCTCAAAACTCAATCTATCTGACAAGCTATTGATTGAGTTTGCAATGTGCTTTACTTCATAGGGCCAGGCAAATCATAGCAAACCAGATTTTTCCCATTCAAATATACCCTAAAGGTCTGTCTTTTGAATTAATACCTATAGATTTACCTGCAGTCAAGATAGCTACATGAAAATTTTCTTTTGCTTGTGATTTTAACTGTAGTTGTTGGTGACATGTATGTGAGTGTAAGATCTTTTTCTGAATATTTTAAGGTTTTTAAGTGGTAGCAGAGATGGAACAGCACGGATTTGGAGGTTTGAGCAGTTAGAATGGAGAAGCATTTTATTGGATATGGCTACCAGAATCTCAGGGTGAGTTGAGATGGTTTATTGTAAGTAGTACATCTTAAGTACTTGCTATCCCTCTACCTGATTGGTTGATTTCTTCTGTTCAGGGGATTGAACAGTATGATCAAAGTTGAGTGGCTACCTCCTGCATAACTGAAAAATACATACTTAAGTCTCCTATATCCAAAAGAACTTATCCTTAACATTTTGTAGGAAAGAAAAACATATTTGTTCTACTGTTGCTACATAGCATTGGCTTCTCTTAGGTGTTGCATTTAAAACCACCTATAATTTAAAGAAATAAAAGTAACTCAGGTATGTCAAGTGTGGAAATTTTACTTTTCTGTATATAGGATTTCTGGAATTTTTAAAATGTCACTTGTGGCTTTGAAGGTAAGTTTGTCCGGTCCCTTCCCCCAGCACTCCGAAGTTTCAAACATTTTTTTGAGAATATTTGAGGTAAGTTTAGCACTTCCCAAGATAAATGCTACGAATTTGAAATACATTGCTTTTTTGGTTTGTATATTAGGAGGTAGTACAGGTGGTAGAAAGAATACATGTTTTGGAATCAGACTTTTGCTCAAATACCACTTACACTGTTTATAGCTATGTATTTTTGAGAACATCATTTAACATTAATCTGTTTCATCATCTGGGAAATGAGACAACCTGCCGTTATTGTTGGGAATTTTAAATGATACGAAAGTTTCTAGCATACTGCCTGGTCTAGAGTAGGTATATTAATGTTCTTTTGTCCAGTGCAAATATTACTTCAGTTACACTGTAATAGAAATCTAAAGTTAGAAATTTTAGTTTGGAGTTATTTCCAAAGTTTTTACTTTTTTGTATCAGTTTTTCTGAGAAATGTTATACATTTGGTCTTGGAAATTCTGAATGTATGCTTAATTTTTAATAATTGTAGGAGAAATTAACTCATAGTCTCTGCTGTGGCTCAGAGTTCTATTGGATTTCAAAATATATTTGATGTTAATATTTTTGTGGGAGAGAATGGAAAGAATATATACTAGAAATCTGATAATCTTTGTTCACAAACAGATCTTTAGCATAATTTAAAAACGTTACTCCTGGATATTCAAAAGCATCTTAGTGTGAAAGTGGATACAGTTACTCCTTGATTAATTGAAATAATGAAGAGGAATGGGAGTGAAGAAAATTTGAAATCATATCCACCTATGAACAATTGTTTTATTAGGAAAATAGGAACATCAGTGAAAACACTTCTTTAAAGATTTTTTTGGGAAATTGGGGGAGGGGAACAGCGTTGGGTAATCGGTGAAGGGGAACGGACAAGCCGCTGCCCCCTTGTTCTTCCTAGTTGTGGAGGACGTCGCTTCACTGGCCCATGTTGCTATTATCATTGTGCTCTTCCTGGGTGAGGCAGTCGCTCGCCGGCCAATGGACGGCCGCTCACGGTGGCTCACAAAAGCTCATGCCCACTGTCAGCCAGCCCCGCTGCAGCCTACGCCGTTGCCGGTGACTCACGGCAGCCCAGCTCCAGGTTGAGCTGTTGTTCACCATTGTAGCTGTAGAGGGTGCAGCGTCACTGGCCCTCATGTGGGAACTGAACCGGGGCCCTGCTGCTCAGAGGTGTCCCAAGCCAGTTCCTAACCAACGAGCTGCTCGGCTGGCCCTGGAATAAAAGTTTTAAAGATGAGACTGAAAACTGCTTAGTTTTCTTGCTGCCATACTATGCATGGAGAGAACTTTTCCTGTAGTTCCCTTCATGTTGGGAATATTCTCATTGAAAGTTTTACCTCTTTCAAATCTTGAAAAAGAGTTTTCTGTGTGTAAGAATTGATGGATATTTTAGTGTTCTAATCTTGGCTGATCAACTTGATGAACTGTAACATGCCTGTTAGTAAATTCAAGGTTACAACAGGGAATACCTTTCAGTTTAAAGGGGAGCATGGAATCTTCTTAGCTTTCATTACATTTCACATCTTATGTTACACTTTTCCCCTGACTAATCTAGTTAGAATTATTCTCGTGTTTCATTGTGCTTACCTAGCTGTGTGTTCCATAGCTGTGACATGACACTTATTCCATATTCTTATAGCTGTTTTCTTTAATTAAAATGTGTTTATTATATGATTGTAATTTCTTAGAATGTGTTATATGATTTCAGAAGCAGCTAGGCCTTTTCCCACTCTCCCACCTGTTACTACCGAGTGCTATATTTCACAGAGAAACCTTGCATATCACTTTCATAAATGCTGCAGTGCATTAGAGACATGTGTGTCCAAGACCATTCTTGCCAAGTGACCCATGGGACAGTGTGTGGGGAAATATAAAGAGATGAGTACAGTCTCATCTACAGTTCGGCAAATTGAGTGTGTGTGTGTCAGGCACTTTTCTAGACATTGGGGGTATAGAGATGAATTTTCTTTTTTCTGTCTTCCTAAATCTTGTGATTTCTAGAGGGAGAAAGAGTTGAAAGTATTAATCATTGGGCCTGGGTTCAGGAGAAGGGAATAATAGAAAAGCGGTAGAGTGAAAAAGCTTTGCTCTTATGAGCAGCAGTGTTGTCCTAAAATCTGCCTTTATTCAGTCTCTGAACTGCTTGTAAATTATCCCCTCCCCCTTTGGGTTTTTTATTAATCTGTTAACAGATAATCTGTTATGGGTCAGATATGATGAATATGTTAGAGAGTTGATAACGTATGCATAGGAAATGGATTATTTATTTTTGTATACTTACATTGCATAGTCTACCATCCAAATGAATTTACCCATTGTGTATTTTTCTCTAAGGGATTTATCTTCCGAAGAGGAAAGGTTTATGAAACCCAAAGTAACAATGATAGCTTGGAATCAGAATGATAGCATTGTTGTGACAGCCGTGAATGATCACGTACTCAAAGTGTGGAATTCTTATACTGGACAACTGCTTCATAACTTATTGGTAGGTAGTTCTTAGACAATATGACAAATCAAGATATTTTTGAACTACGATTTTATTTTTGAAGCTGTAGAATTAATACAATTAAACATGTTTCTTTAATTTATATTATCAAATAAATAGAAATTTAATGTAAAAATTACTGTCACTGATACATTTTTAAAAGCCCTTATGTGAGGTTTTAATTTTAAACTTATAACTTGCAAACCCTCATTAACTATATGATTTTGTTGAATAAAGGGACATGCTGATGAAGTATTTGTTTTGGAGACACATCCCTTTGATTCCAGAATTATGTTATCTGCAGGACATGATGGCAGCATATTTATATGGGATATTACAAAAGGCACCAAGATGAAACATTATTTTAATATGGTAAGCGAAATCAGGGGTATCTTCTTGCATGCTTGCTTTTGTTTCAAGTACTTGGATTATAAAGTTTAGCCAGAAACAAATCTGCATGTTTTGGCAGTTTATATTTCTAGAAATCAGGTTACTTAGAGACTAATAAATGTCTGACAGCCACACACACATATGTACATGAAATTCTCTGTATAACTGATCACACGAGGGAAAGACTTTCAAAAATTACCTATTTAGCTTTGTGTGGATGTGTGAATGTGTCCCTGTCTGTTTACATTGGCAAAATTATGGTAATTATACAGAGCTGTTTCACTACTTAAATTTATTAAAATACTCGATAATAAAAATATAAAAAATAATATTTAGTAAAATCATCTAGGAAATCAAACATCATTGGGTTTTCCCAGCCTTTTTTCTTTTTGCTCATGTCTAGTCTAAAACCAAATGAGGATTCTGTTGCATATTTTTAGAATTTGTCATACATAAGCACAGTACACTTACCCAAATCAGTAAATCTAAATTGATAAAATGGTATAGTCTAATTTAAATTTATATTCAAGTTTTGTCAGTTGTCCTAATAATGTCTGTAGTTATATTTTGCCCCTTGGACCAGGATCTAATTAATCATTCATTGTATTATTAAGTGGTTATGTAGTTCTAGATTTCTTTAATTTTCAGTAATCTTTCCATTTTTTTTCTGTTTCTTGCCTTTTTGATGAGTACAGGCAAGTAATGTTACAGAATATTTGTTTTTTGTGCTGTTTCTTGATGATTTGATTCTGTTACACATTTTTTGATGGAATAAAACATAAATGATGTGTCCTCCATGCATTATATTAGGAGGCAGGTATGGTATTTATTTGTCTTACTATTTGTGGTGATAATTTAAATATTTGGTTAAGGTGGAATCTGCCAGATTTCCCCAATATCAAATAGTTGTTTTTCCTCTTTGTAATTATTAAGCTCATTTTATCAGGTGCTGTTTGAGA